CTTGAGGCAGTATGACCAGGTATTTTATCTTTATCCTTGGGAGAAAAGATTATGGGTTATTACTATCGTTTAAAGTACTCTTAGACAATTGCATCATGAAAGATGATAAATTCGAACTATATTCTAAGTGATACTGGAAGAAAACATCTTAAATTATATCCGAATTGATGGGATTGGAAAGAAGTACTTTGGTTCTTATTTTCACAAAACAATTTAATATCATCAAGTAACTTCACATAACTAGGAGTTCCAAATTAATTCTATACCCTATGTTAGCATTTGGTTTCTCTATTTTGTTGCTGGGAAGTCTATTAACTAGAAACTCTGCAAGCAATGCCATTTTTGAACAAAGGATCCCCATCTTTCAGCATGTTGTTTATACTATCAAATGATATCAGATGGATATATAGCTTGTGTTGATTACATCTCATTTCTGCACAGATATGACATATGATAGGTGCAGATAGGAAAACCAGAATTTAAAGAAGTTCGAGAATTAATAAATGGGATGAGTATTGTTGCAATCTATTTGTTATTGCAATGGAAATATTATGGAAAAAATAACTAGAGGATTGAAAATTTGAATAATATATCATAAAATAACATTTAAATGGATAATGGGAAAAACCAGCCACTCTTAGTAGAGTGGTATATTACTTCCCTCCCTCACCATGAGGAGGGTGGGGATTCAGGTTTGCCTTATGGCTATATGTCAACGTAGATGGACTTGAAGCCAAAAAAAAAAAAAAAGGAAACCAACCTCTAGGATCTTACTATGGCTGCATCTACTGGTACCTGGTAGAGTCTTTATTTAGCTACAGAAGGTTACATATGTTCCCCTCATGAATAGGTCCTGTAGTTATGGTGATTGTTGTATGACAGGCTTGGAGTGTGTATGGGGTGCTCAACTACTTGCAAGCACTTGTGGAGAAGTCAGTGATAATTCAGATTCTGGAACAGGAAAAGGAAGGCCTCGAACAGTTCACAGCCACTGACGGCTATGATTATAGTGGTGGGAGTAATGTGTTGAAGGTGCTAGGATATTTCAGCATGGTTGGTTTGCTGCGTGTTCATTGTCTTTTGGGTGATCATCATACTGGTCTGAAATGCTTGCTGCCTATTGACATTAGCCAACAAGGTGTTTATACAAGTGTTATTGGAAGTCATATTACAACCATATATCACTATGGGTTTGCCAATCTAATGTTGCGGAGGTATATTGATATCCGGTTTATACACTTGCATATTTTGCATTTTCTTAAGTGCTGTCTTTACTTTTTTAGTGCCTTCTAAATATACTTAGGCCTTTTATGCTTAATTTGATATAAACAAAATTGACCTTATATGTCAAAGAAGGTTTGAACTTTGAAAGAGGATTGAACAGCATTGAATATAATGAGTTGTTTACTTTAAGATAGATGTAAAACATTAACTTCTTTTGTTGCTTGAACCTCAAAGAAGTTATAATCCTGAAAAACTCTTGAAATGGAATTTAAATTAATTTTAGAAAAGGATTGTAATGTTTGAATCTTTTAGACCATGTGGCTTTTAAATGACGAAGACTTTAGCTCCCATTTGGAGGGCATATCTTGATGTTAGTTGCTCCATGTTCTCACAGTTCATAAACTTAGTATATTATTAGCTACTTTCTAAAAACAGACTAAATGCCTGTAGGGTCCATAAACTAGCATCTGTCATAGGATCTACTATTGAGGTTTGTTCCTCTTTCATCTTTGCTTCACTATGAAACAGAAACCTTGAGGTGTTCAGTTGATGCAAAAGACTTTTATCTTTTTGTCCTTCTGACAAAGAATATTTATGAAATTAGAGGACATTTTTGGGAGTTGGTTGTGCTCAATAACTGATGGTGGATGGCTTATGAAATTTTTGAGTAGGTATGTGGATGCAATTCGCGAATTCAATAAGATTCTCTTGTACATTTATAAGACCAAGCAATACCACCAGAAATCTCCACAATATGAGCAGATATTGAAGAAGAATGAGCAGATGTATGCATTGCTGGCAATTTGTCTTTCACTCTGCCCACAAGTGAAACTTGTTGAGGAGACTGTGAACTCTCAGTTGCGTGAGAAGTATGGTGAAAAGATGATCAGAATGCAAAGATATGATGATGAGGCATTTGCGATCTATGATGAGCTCTTCTCATATGCATGTCCCAAATTCATCACACCATCAGCACCGAGTTTCGAGGAGCCGCTTGTAAACTACAACCAGGTATATGAGCTCTCCATGCAATGGCGTAGTGTAGCCTCTTAGCATGTTTCTACCTGGTCTTCTTTCAAGTTTCTGCTGGAGTTTATATGGGATTTATAAATCATTTTTCTTCGTATATTTTGTGATTCCTGCCTAGGAAGATTTTCTTCTCATCGTTTACAAAAGGTATATCTAGCTTTTTTGACTAGTATAGTTGATATATTCCTGTTGCAGGATGCCTATAGACTTCAGTTGAAGTTGTTCCTTTATGAAGTGAAGCAGCAGCAGTTATTATCAGGTGTTCGGACATTCCTGAAAGTGTATTCAACCATATCACTTGCAAAGCTTGCCAATTACATGGAAGTTGATGAACCCACTCTAAGGTTGTTCTTTAACATAGTTCTTTTCTTTAATTTGTTTACATTTGATTATCCGTGATTGTCCACTGAGCTTTTGCCATTACTTATTGCAGGACTATCTTGATGACATACAAGCACAAGACCCATGCTGTTGATTCTGATGGGAAGATAATCTCCAATGCAGATGTGGATTTCTACGTTGATGATGTTTGTTTCTTTCCCTCCATCTCTCTCCCCATCTTTCTTCCCTAGCGGTTGAATAGATAATGTTTTAAGGGTTCTTAGTTGTGACCTTCAGCTCCTATGAAGCTTATGGTGGCAGTGATGGTTTCAGTTGAGGTGGTCTTTTAAGGTGCTATTGTTCACCTTGGATAGGATAATTGGAAGCGGTTAACAAAATTGTTAACCAGCAACACCTTGGACAGGATAATTGGAAGTAGTTAACAAAAGTATTAACCAGCAGTTTGAGTGCTAGCTACTAATCAGCAATGTGAAACTCCTGTTGCAACTACTGTCACCACATTCACGTAGGGACACGGACACACACTAGGCATGTCTTTTACCTTGCAAATATATAATAAAAAACACTGTTTAGAGGACAACTGGCATCAGAACATAAATCAAAGTTCTGCAACTAATATGATATGGTGGAAATATGTATGGTGCATATGAAATCCAGTTGATTTTCCTGGAAAGACTTTCTGTCTGACAATGAAAGTGATCCTATATATTGTTACAGGACATGATTCATGTTGTGGAATCCAAACCAGTAAAACGATATGGTGATTACTTCTTGCGGCAAATTGTCAAGGTATGTTCATCTCGACTGATAAAGGTGCGAATAGTATTGATAAAAATTGTAGGGCAGCACGACGAGTGATTTAACTTTTTCATTTTCTGTTGTGTCACAGCTTGAGGGAGTGATAAATGATATGGACCGGATAAAGCTGGAGTGAGAATGGTTGTTATTTGTTGCTTGGATGGGAGTTGACATGTTTTATTTTCTTTAGTTTGTCCACAGCAATGCTTGGAATGAATTTTGTTTATTCATTTGGCATTTTACAGCCGTACTGTATTAGTGGAATAGGTAGGTCTCAAATGTAATATTCACCAATGCTAGTTTATCAACTTAATTTATAAGATTTCGAGAAGAGATTTTATGTTGGCACTGCATTCCCAAGTGTGCTTTGTGCTGATGGCATAATTTTTTTTTTTTTTTTTATCAACGAACCCAGCAGATGACGCGTATATTTGCATAAAAGAAGATCGTGATACTTGGAGTTCTGAATAAAGATTGCACGAACTGGTAGCCGTATATTGCAACTAAAACTTGATTATTGACGTCTAACCTTCGGCTATTGGGACATGATGAATAGCAGCAGCACGTTGGTTTTCTTATATGTAAAGTTGACGTTATAATATAAATAGATATATGTATGTATTTGGTTAGATGAGGGTGAGAATGATAAAATCTGCTTAATACATTTACTAATATGTGGTTGTTATATTGTTGATATTTGTGTTTCCATTGTAGTCTGACCCCTAATGGTTTTATTTTGCATAACTCTCCCATGTTTCCCCTTGATAATAATAATAATGATCCTATTCCTCCATATAAGTTAAGTGGTTTGGAAGATGTAAACAAATTACAAAGCCCATCTCTAGAATGATCCTTGACAAGATTAAATCTGGTTTCTCTCTCTCTGTGCCATCCAAGAACTTGACACTACCGAGAATTCTCCATCTCAAGTTGGCTGGCTTTTTTACTTGTGAGGCAGTGCAAAATTCATCTCTAGCACCAAGTGTTCTTTTATGCAGATCCCATTTACCAATATATATATATATATATACACACACACACAGCCATTATTTTATTTGAGTAGAAATTAAAGTAAGAAGCTTGCATACACTATTTGAAATTTTTTTTTTTAAAAAAAGGTTGCATGCACGTCTCCTCTTTCGCATACTTATCCTCTTGACGGTGAAGATAACTTTTCCTCGACCATCTCAACATATTTACAAACCAAACTCCTCGACCTACGTGCCCTACCAAGTCAAAACAATCAATCACAACCGCTTTGCCTCGTCCCCACATTTTAAAAATTATAAATTACTTAACCATTAATAATTATTTTTATAATTATAATTATCCTAATTAATTCCAGTTAATTAAGGTAAATCAAATTATTTTAGTTAATTAAACTAATATATATTTTCAGACAAAATTGTATTATGATCCAAAAACCACGTAACCAAAAGGAAACGGCATTCCTCTTCTCTTCCCTTACTCCTCCCAACTATAAAAGCTGGCAGTCAAATCCCCAATGGAGAATATTTCTTCTGCCGAAAGAATTTGCGAACGTTAACAAAGAGCATCCATAACCGGCTAAAATGCGCGCTGAGTTCACGTCTTCTTTTTCTTCACCGACTGATCGGAGGCTAAGCACTCTGTCCAGGCACCTTTCTAATGACTCTTCACCGTCAGTTATAGATTCTCAAGGCACTCTAACCGCTTCTCGAACTGCGGCCTTCCATCGTGACTCTGTCTTCGCTCACCTTGTTCGTGCACCTGAAGATCCTATTCTCGGGGTATTCACACACTCTCTCTCTCTCTCTCTCTCTCTCTGTCCGTTCCTTGTAGCTCCATTTACCATACATAATTGCACGTGTTTTCATGTTGCTTTTGCATTTGTTAGTTCACATAAAAGCACCTTAGTTTGAATGTGTATTTGTCGTAATTATACGCGTATAGAAGTTAGCTTTTATTTGTTTTACATTTTTATTTAAATATATTCCAGTATTCGTGTTCATATTATGTTTGTTAATTCTGATACATTTTTTTTTTCTTGGGACGATTGTTCCTGATTTCACATAACAGTTCATTATCAATAGCGATTTTAGCATATATCAACGAGTTTTATTACTTGATAGTTTACAGATTAATTCTTGATGCGAGTCCGGTTAGCTCTTTAGTTAATTTCTGTGGGATTTACCTGGCTTATTTGCTTTTGATGAGATGTATCTTTTTCGCACTTCAACAAATAGGTAACAATCGCGTATAACAAAGATCCCAGCCCGGTTAAGTTAAATTTGGGAGTTGGTGCATATCGAACTGAGGTAAAGTTTTTAATTGATATAGTGGCAGCTGTTTTCTCTTTCCTTCTCTCTCTCTAGTTTTCTTCTTAGGCTTTTCCTTCTTGTAGATTCTTGTATTAGGAAATTAAAATATAGTGAATTGCACTTGGAGATCGTATATTCATCTAACGGAAAGTGTTGATTATGTGTTGTCTTAGGAAGGAAAACCTCTTGTTCTGAACGTTGTCAGAAGAGCTGAGCAGCAGCTTGTAAACGACAAGTAGACTTTCTTGAGTTTTGTTAGTATTATCATCACTTTTTCTTGAAGCCCTGAATTGACTTACATTCTGCACGGCGTGTAGGTCTCGTGTCAAGGAATATCTTCCTATTGTCGGATTGGCTGAATTCAATAAATTGAGTGCTAAGCTCATTTTTGGTGCTGACAGGTAAAATGGTCAAAAAAATTTTGTGTTTTGTAGGATACATCAATTACTTTAATTTGTGAAGTTTACCTTGGATTTTGGGATTTTGTTTTCCGATGGTTTTGTAAAGAATTATTTGCTAATTGCTCTTTTTATTTTTTACATGCAATAGCCCTGCTATAAGAGAGAACAGGGTTACTACAGTGCAGTGTTTATCTGGTACTGGTTCACTCAGAGTTGGGGCAGAATTTTTAGCAAAACATTATCATCAGGTAACTAGCATATTTTCTTTTAGAATTAATTTTTTTCTTTCCATTGGATCATATATGTTTCTATTTAGTCAGAGTGTTAAAGTACTCAACCTTTATGCAGCGTACAATTTACATTCCCCAGCCAACATGGGGGAATCACCCAAAAGTTTTCACTATGGCTGGTTTATCTGTGAAAACTTACCGTTACTATGATCCAGCAACACGCGGGCTGAACTTCCAAGGTTTGGAGTAATCTTTTGTGCTAGTGAATTGTTAGGGTATCTGGTGTGAAATATTCTTGCAAATTATGCATTTCTTTTCATTGTTTTCTCGTAACTGCAGAAGTGATTTTGGTGTTATAAATATTGGATAGCTACTTAATAGTTTTATTTTTGTTCATTATTTATCAAGACATTTTGCTCCATTTTGGTTAATAGGCCTACTAGAAGACCTTGGTTCTGCTCCATCAGGAGCTATCGTTCTTCTTCATGCTTGTGCTCATAACCCAACTGGTGTTGATCCGACCATTCAACAATGGGAGCAGATCCGACGGTTAATGAGATCAAAGGGATTGCTACCTTTCTTTGATAGTGCTTATCAGGTAGGGCATTAACTTTTAAGCCGAAAAAAGTAAACTGGAAAAACAATACGGGCAGTAGTTGGATTTTCTTCAAGGATATACATTTCATCAAAGGAAATGATAATAATTCTCTTTTCAACATCAAATTCTTACTTGATGAAATTGATTTGTTGTAATCATAGGGTTTTGCAAGTGGAAGTCTAGATGCAGATGCTCAATCGGTTCGTATGTTTGTTGCCGATGGTGGTGAGTGCTTTGCTGCCCAAAGTTATGCAAAGAACATGGGACTTTATGGGGAACGTGTTGGTGCCCTAAGCATTGTGAGATTCTATGAACAACTTTATTACTGGATGCTTTAACTTAATTGTTTTAAAAAATCACAGTTCTTGATACTGTTGTCTTTCTGGAATACAATCAAAGCTATGTCATTGTACATTTTGCACAGTGCTGTAATTATTCACACTTCTCTATACGAGCTCTTATATCCCGTTGTAAATTATATGGACCATAATCCTTTTAATTTCCCTTGGTTTGCTGGACAGTGGACGTCGTACCCGTTTTATTGTCCT